AAGTACACCCCCCCTACCAGAGACTATTTGGCAAACCAGTTAATCCCAATTTGGTACAAGATAGAAAAATCTAATGTAATCTCTGAGCTTGCTGATGTCCACTCTGTTGCCCTCACTTGTGACTCTTGGACTAGCATTGCTCAAGACCACTACCTAACTGTCACAGCACACTATTTAGTGGAGGGCAAAATGAAGCAAAAAGTGCTGCAAACCAAAGCTGTCTACACAGCCCAGACCGGACATGCCGTGGCAGAGGAGATCGGTGACATCCTGAAAGAATATGGCATTTTTGACAAAGTAGTGACTGCTACTGTGGATAATGCACCAAATATGGACATAGCCATAAAAAGACTACAGTTTGTGAAACTTGGCTGCTTTGCTCATACACTCAATCTTGCAGCACAGAGTCTCTACTCCCTGTCTGCAGTGACTCAGTGGACTGCAAAGATCCGTACCATCATTGTGTGGATGAAGAGGTCCTCGATGGCAAAGATTGTTCTGCGAGAGAAGCAAGATCTCCTCAGTAAGAATCACTAAATTTGTTTCATTTGACCACAATGAATGCTATATAATTAAAATGCCTTTTTTAGTAACGTAAATTTTGCATGCATTTATTTTTTTCAAATAGTACAACAATAGCTGATGTCTGAATGTAACTAAATCACATAAATGTTGTATGGTGATGTTATATACTATCATTTGTTTCTTTGTATTTGTGATTTTATTGTGTGTGTCAGAGCTGCCGCAACACGCACTCACACTTGATGTGAGAACTCGATGTGGAACTCTCTCTACCTTATGATGGAGAGATTCCTAGAGCAATACCCTGCAATTCAAGCAGCCAGCTTGGATCAACGGCTGAGAAAGAATATGGAGAGGGACAGGTAGAGCTAGATAGGATAGATGGAAATCTGGGTATCCTACTCAATGTATTTATACAGCACAGCACCAATACACAAGATGAATAAAACACTAAGCAGCTCAAGATTCAGTTAACTTCAAGTGAGAGTCTAATATTAGATAATTAGTAAAAGTGTAGTAAAACAGTAAAACAAGTGATAGATAGATAAAAGTGTAAGCAAAAATAACTATTAATTTTATATTATAAAATGTATCCTAATTGTCACACACAGACTTGCCCGGCTGAGTGATGAAGACTTCAGGAAGGCAGAGGACTTCATCAACTTGATGAGAGTTCTTTACACTTCCACACTTTGCGTTTCAACGGAAAAGAACCCCACATGTGGTCAGATCCTGCCAATTCTCAAAAAGCTAGAGATGCACTTTACTGTTGTTGAGGGAGACACAGTATTTGTATCCAATCTCAAGAAGCAAGTTTGGGCAAACTTGTCCAAGCGATATCAGGTAAAAATTAGGTGAACTTTCATTAAAGAACAATACATTAAATAATTCTATTCCTGTGACCTTATTGTATATTTAAATAACATTTTTATTTTACAGAGCGAGGACATCAGGAACTTTCTTGAAGTGGCAACAGCATTAGACCCACGCTTCAAACAAAATATGGATTGTGATGATGACTCTGTCGGTGTCTGTGACCGAATCAAGAGACAGATGATGACAGATTCTGAGCACAAGCAGGTTATATAATGTCATTGAAGCTCAAACATTTAATGTCTCCAATTCAGCCATTAAAATATTTGGTATATAAATACCAATTATGTTATTTATTATGTTATTAGTCAACAGAGGATGATTGTTCTGACATCACTACCTTCTCCACAATGTGGTCAGAGAAAAGGCATGATAATGATGAAGTGGAGGAGGAAGATGAGAATGTAAGCACAGAAATGCTGAAATATTATATTTAGGATCTTAGCCTCTGCCTTAAGTAGATGTTTTTCTTTTAGTGAATAAGTCTATTCTTTGTTTTTGCAGCAACAACCTCCAAGAAAACATCCAAGAAAGTCTCCATTGGAGGAGCTTTTTGCCGATGACGATGCAGAAAAGAGGTCATCACAGAGGAGGACCATGTCCATCCAGGACCATGCAGAGAAGGAGATGCAGATGTATAAGGAGACACCACCAACCTTTACGTCTGATGACCCTGCTGCCTGGTGGTGGAACCAGCGCATGACTTATCCTTTAATGTCAAACATAGCCTTTTCGTATTTGTGTGTTCAGGCCTCCTCTACACCTAGTGAACGGGTTTTCTCAACTGCCGGTGACACAATCTGTGCTGAACGTTCACGGATACAGCCTGAGAAGGCAGACATGCTCATATTTCTGAACAAGAACTGTTTTTAATTAATTAAGTTTATACATGTACAGAGAGTCCAGACCAGGGTGCAAGTTCTGCATATATAAATCTGTTTTTTTGGTCTGGTGCAGAGGCATTCCTAATTTTCTCCTACATGGGCTGCAGCTCCTAAAACTAAAACTCATATTTTCTCCTACATGGGCTGCAGCTCCTAAAACTAAAACTCATATTGAATCAAAATAAAATTATCCTCTGTGAAATCAAATGAGCCTGTGACATGTTTTGACTCCAGCCCACAAAGAATCGGAATTGAGAATCGAAAAGAACCGAAATCGAAAGGAAGAATCGGAATCGGAATCAGAATCGTTCAAATCAAAATGATGCCCAACCCTACCTCTGACAAATATAGTTGATGACCCCTGGCCTACACGCTATGTAAAGAAGTGCTTCCTTAAATTCAGTTTGAAATGTTCTCCCGCTAATTTCCACCTATGGCAACGAGTTCTTGTATTTGAACTAATGCTGAAGTAACTATTTGGTTGAACAGCATCCAAAACTGTTAGAATCTTATAGACCTGGATCATGTCCCCCCTCAGTCTCCTTTGCTTGAGGCTGAACAGATTTAGTTCAACTAACCTTTCCTCGTATGACATTCCTCTAAGACCAGGAATCATATTCTTGTGGCCCTACGCTGCACCTTTTCTAAGGCCGCAATGTCCTTTTTAAGATATGGTGACCAAACCTGCACACAATATTCTAGGTGAGGTCTCACCAAGGAATTGTATAATCTTACTGTAGCATTACCTCCCTTGACTTAAACTCCACACACCTGGAGATATAACCCAACATCCTATTGGCCTTTTTTATTGCTTCCCTGCAATGGCGAGAGTGAGACATGGAAGCATCAACATACACACCA